AAAAATAAGGACCATCCATTTCAGAATCATTGTAAGAAAGCATTTGACGTCAGTTTTAGCAGCTTGAGCATAGCATCTGCCCGTAAGTTTCACCGGAAAATATTTTCTCTTCTTTTTTCTCCCTTAGTATACATAATCAAATAAATAAATTTGTCACTTTTTATAATGCTAGTCTAATAGCTTATATCTGGTACTAAACATTCATTTCTTTTTGCATAATAGTTCTTCTTCCATGGACCGCTAGAATTTTAAACTTGTTTCAAATCCCAATAACCCCAAAGGAAACTATCACATACTTTTCCAATATTACCGACCAGGTGATTAATCTACGCAGGAGAAAGGAAAGTGCAAAAGTACGTTATTTATACTTTTTGTATGTGTTAATGATAATCAATTTAATTTTTGATGTGCTTTTTTTTCTGTTATACTGTCGATTAATCTGGTTCCTTTTTCTGTTATGAATTTCTCCCTTTTCATTCTCAAACTATTTCTTCTTACTCATTTTTTGGCATGGATTCCTCACTCCTGATAAATTCAATCCTCTTTTTTCCAAGTGTTTTGGACTTTATATTCAAGGTAAATTGTCTGCAATACCACTGCCCAAATTATAAACAGTTTGAATTCCATCCCTGGCGTTAAGTTCTGATTTTCAATGACTAGCTTCAGCCATTTAAAACACAGTACTCATTTGAAACATCAATCTCTTCATTTTTAGTCAGTTTGTTTGAATAGACTCTCAATTAACAGTACATACATTCACAATGTTCCGTTACTGTCAATGTTTTGTTTTTAAGTATATGCACTTGTGTTCTTCCTTGTAATGACTGATTTTGTCGTCATCACTATAAAGAACCCAATACATCCTTCGAGACGAGTAGGGGGATACCCCGGTGTACTGGAACAGACAGCCCCTGTGGTGGACGACGAGAGTTGCTGGTACCGGGTTACCGGGTAGCACAGACACGAAGGGACCCTTAGGGGCGAAGAAAGTCATTGATCGAGTTCCTAGTCCACACATCAAGCGCCCTGAACATCTTACATTAGATGGATATGTGCGCTATATAAAACTACACTACTATTATTATTATTATTATTATCAGCTTTCTCAACTCTTCCCCAACATTTCAAGTAGTGCTAACACAGCCCCTTATCACTCACTTATTTTCTTTTGAACAGAGAATTGATTTCATGCAGTTAATGATCGACTCGG